TTTAGGGTTTAGGGTTTCGTTGGTGATGCTCTGGCTCTGCCTTCAACGTAGCAGTTTCCCACAGCAAGGAATGCTGATGGTGCAACTTATGACGAAAACGTTGCATAACATAGCAGGTTTTTCGACCACTTTTCATTGTCAATGGCCCCCCCAAACCCTAAATCCGAAACCCGAGACCCTAAACCCCGCTAGTTTGCAAGACTCACAGTCACACACATGGGCAGTTGCCTAAATGAGGGTCCCTTTTCGGATCCCCAATTTAAAAAATACGGCACCCTTATAAAGCGGACCCTAATTTAGAGACCTACCTACATGCGGCGGATCTCGGAGTCCCAGTTTGGGAGCTTCCCAGCCCCCAGGCGTGTCAGTCGTATTAGGAGTTTCGGATTTGGGGGTTAAAACCCTAAACCCTAAACCTTAAAAACACAAGGGTAGGGGCTTCGGATTTGAGGGTTAGGGTTTTGGATTCTGTGGTTTTAGGGCTTCAAGTTTCGGGTTTAAGGGTTCTTCGGTGTTCAGCCGTCCGCACGACATGCAAAATTCCGAGAAGTGCCTGGGATTGTGATTCCGAAGCATGGGGTCCTTACCTGCGCCCTGCAACTCCGAGCCTCCCAAGGGGGTAGTTCTCTAAATTTTAGGGTCCCGTTCGGGGGGGTCCTTTTTCATAAGGGTGCCGTACTGCATTGGGGAGCCAAAACGGGGCCCTAATTCAGAGAACTGCCCAACTGCAAACCCGAGAGTATTTTTTTGGAGTTCAGACTTGCAGGCTGCAGGATTTAATCGGGCTGACGGCGTGAGGATCTAGAATCTAGATGTACCTGAGCTACCAAGCCCTGCTTTTTGTGATCTTTTAATGTTGAGTTTACAACAAGAACTTACGAGAAAGTATGTTATGGTAGGTGAAGGTAGAGATCTAGCATGTCGTAGGCCGTTCAGTCGTAAGATTTAAGGAACAAGGTCCCCGCAGCAAGCACCTTATGACTATAAAACTCTCAAACACTGCGGTATCAAGCCCTCAAGCCATAAGCACCCCTTCAACTTTAGACCGCAAAAACCTGTTCTTCTGAACCCTCACACCTTCTAAATTCAAGACCCCCCACATTCCAACACCAAAACCCGGAACCCTAAACCGAAGTCAGCCTGGAACCTCCTCGGAGCATCCTAGGTAGTATTAGGGAGACCCCTTAAATGGGGACACTTCTTAGCCCTACTTATGGCTCCCTTAAAGGGGACCTTATTGAGAGGGTCTATATCCCCAAGGGTTCCCCTAATCCTAACCTCCTCGGAAGAAGGAAGGATGCCGACTCTGATGCCGACAGCCCGGCAGTGGCCGAAGATCCCCGCCGGGAGATCGATGAGCTGATCAGTCCGACGAAGGACGTAGTAGCTGAGTCGGTAACCTTTAACCTTTTTGGGCTTATATAATCCTACCATAATTGAAAGGTTAACCTTTTTTTGGGCTAGGGTACTCAGCCCCGGAGAAGACTTGGGATTAGAGGTGTACTCGGTCATCATCATCATCAACAGTAAATCGGGTTGGGGGGTTTGGAATGATATGTCTGATATGCGTTGTTTACAAGGGCCAGAAATTCTTCAGAAAGGGACACTACTACGAAGGAGTTGGTACGAAAGAGGGGGCACCTTAATAGTTGAGTTAGAGTAGGAATTATGGCAGTTCGGGATCGGGAAGTTTGAATTTTTGGGCTCACAGAACCTCAGTTCGTTTACTCCATATACTCAATCTACACCTTAAGCTCCAACTATGTCCTCAGCTCCAGGACCTCCAACTCAGAACAGTGGGGATGGGGGCGTATGCCCTAAGCCTGCGGCCCTAATCCCTATGCCCTACATCGTTTTTTCTTGCCCCACACCCGCAACTGAACCCTAAACCCTAGACCGTGGGGTTTAGGGTTTGGGCCTCGACTGAACCACGGACAAACCAGGCCAAGGGGGCATGGGAAGTTTCGGCACCCCGCAGCCCGGAAGCGTGCGAAAGCTCACAAACGTCAGGTTTACCGGGACCGTCACGTTCATGGGCTCACGATTTAGGGGTATGGGGTATGGGGTTGAAAAGAGTAGCCTCAGTGCGACCCATCAAAACTGGAAGCGCCAATCCTACAGCATCAGCAGCAGAGAGTTGGTGTGCCCTCATGAAGATTCAGACTCGCACGCCTCCCCCAGGGCCGGGGTCGTCAAGCAAGTCATAGGATCAAGCCAACTTTGTAAACCTAAATGGGAGTTTCCCAAAATAAGGGGTACCTGTTTTGGGGGGTCTTTATAATAAGGATCCTACTATTTAGGGTGCTATATTAGGATCCCCTAATTTCGGAAACCCCTAAATGGAGAACAGTCTAAGGCTAAGGGTGTTGATTTCCTTTCCCGTCGTTCGTCCCAACTCCGTCGTCAGTAGCAATGATGATTATCCGCAATACCAGCGCATGCACCGAAAGCCGTACTCTAATCGTTAAGGCTGTTATGGAAGCCGCTGTAAACCCTTAAATCTCTTCTAAAAGCCTACAAAACATGTATGCTGAATCCTCCCAATGCTACCGCATGCCCCTAGATCCTATCATGGTGAGTCTACTGCGGCTTCGAGTATGAGAGTTTGAGACGTGATGCGGAGGATGTGGTGAGCCGCAATGCCACGACGACACAAACGTTGGGACCCCTGCGGCTCGCGGAGATTCTAGAGAGATGCGGATAAGAAGCAAGGGAAAAAAGGCTCCTCTGTCGTGCAGGCTTCAAGAGTGAGAGTGGTTGCTACGTTGATGTGCACCTTGCCTGATGCATCAGGAACACATGAGTAAGGCGGTGCCCCTTCCGCTAACTTGTTGCCAACTTAGAAGTTACCAAGCCGCCTTTCCAGAAGCTTGAGGGATGCAGCCGTGTAGAATGCAGCAGATGTGCCTTTCGCTATCGGATGCAGGGACCCTGTTACAGTTTCCATGCGGCGTCCGTGAATCTTTAGAAAGCCGAAGCCTTATAGACCTAGTTCCTGGACAGAGATGGGTTCCCCAGCATAGGACTTCCAGATCCAACTGCGAGACTTCTCCAGCCGAAAAAAAAGAGAGCACAGAAAGCCTTAATCCCATTTCGGTTCGTCCTTGCTATGTAGGAGGGCAAAAATTTCGCATGCCCCAAGTCGCGCTGATCGTCCCTTGATTGAAAGCTGGACGGGTGCCGCCTTCTGTCGTCGTCTGCAGGCAGGGTCTGGACGGCCAGCTTCTTCGGGAAGCGGCCGCAGAGATCTCGAGGCGCTCCTGCAGCTTCTGTTTCCATTCGAGGCGTCGGGCATATGCCAAGTTCATACTTAGACGGCTCTTGTGTTGCAAAGTAATTAGAGGGGTTCAGAACGGTGCACACGGACCTTTCTGCAGCAATTAGAAATCCCATAAGTGTTGCACTGCAAATCACAAGATGAAGAAACTAGAGAAAGGTACGGCCCGGCAGAAGTCCGCAGAATCAGTACTGCATGCGACTGCACAGAAGCAGTGGCTACAAGACGTTTATCGACAGAAGCTTTCGCAAGTATCGCCACGAAGAAACGGTGGTAGCCATGGTGAAGCTTCCGGCTTTCACGGCCAAGCCTGATACTCCTATCTGGCCGTTAAGGAAGGTACGGGCAGCACCCACCCTTTGACAACTATTAGGCAGTGCATCGTGACACGGACATGTGCTGACCGAACGAAATTTAATCACAAAGATGCGTCAAGTGGGTCACCAGGCACTGCTATCTTTCGAGCGTACCCGTGAATCTATGATCTGAGCTTATTTCGCGGTGTGGCCTGCTTGCGCCAGGGTGCCGGTACTAATTCTCTTAGGGCACAAGATTTTGGTTCGTATGTTTGTAGTAACTCGTCGAACACTGCCTCAGATGCAGGCTGGATCGTGCCGGAGCACTGCGGTGTAGCCGTCAAGGGCATGTGCAGGAGCATAATGCTTGTTGTCCTGGTTGGATGGTTGAATATCTGACTACTTGGGCCGTATGGGCTCATTAGCTGAGCTTAGCTTAGCGCAGCTGATTGATGGTATCGTCGGCTTGTGCGAAAGCAAGGCTGAGAGCGCAAACCTTGCCTGGCCAGAGCATGGAAGCCAGCCTAGCACCTTTCTTGGAGACCCGGGAATTGACAGGTGCTTACCGCTATGACGGAGGCAAGCGAGACCTGTACAACGAGCTCATGGGCAAGTTCGAACGACTGCCGCAGCAGATCCTTAATGTCAATATCATCCATGTTCTTGAGCAGGTCTTCCGATTTCCAGCTCAGTTGTACTGTGGCGGCCAGGGTGGGAATGCATGCTGTTTTGCACACATCGTGCACGGAACATCGCCAGAACAATGGTATGCTCAGTGCCAACGTCTCGAGGAGACTTTGAAGGGGCGCTTGAAACAACGTGCTGGAGAGAACATGACGCCAAGCGAGGTTGCCAGGCACCTCCAGGAAGGCACGGATGGGTCTCCTCAGTTCACCCAGGAAATCGCATGGTTGCGACAACACCTCGAGCAAGCATGCATGCTGGCAAAGTCCTCGCTTAGTTCAGAAACGTTGCAGGTCCCTGATCCAGATATGCTGGATGTTGCTGCAGTGGCACGGACCTATGCTGAAGTACATCAAGGCCGAAGACACTTTCGGCCTGTGCAGCTTGCGGCTATCCTGCTCAACGTGAGAGCTTCTGCTGCCATGTCATCCGTCCTGATTGAGATGAAAACCGGTGAGGGTAAGACGGATATGTGTGCTGCGGTGGCAGCTGTTTTAGCCAAGCGAGCTCCAAAACACGCCGTGCACATTCTGACCTCCAGCAGTGATCGCGCATGTGACGATTGCAAGTCCACGAAGGCCTTTCTTGAAGCATGCACTGGCAGACCACCAACGCTTGCATCTGAGGGCTTGAAGTGGGGTGACGAGGGTAGTGGTGTGGTCTATGCACAGGTTACGGACATTCAGAAGATGGTGGTCGACGAGATGAGGAATGGCAAGAAGAAAGAGTTGTTCCGATGGTTGGAGGATTGCTTCCTTCTTGTGGACGAAGCCGACCATGTCTTGATTGAGCAGTCCGAAAACCAACTCTACATCTCGAGCCCCTGCCGTGGTTTCCAAGCACTGGCCCCATTGACCTTCTTGACGATGGCTTACATGGACTTTGACGCAGATTTCAGCGAGGCCTCCGTCAAGGATCCCATGGCCATCCCCGAAAAGAGCACTGCTTTGGCCAACAAGCTTGTCGAGGACTGGGTCAAACAAGCTTGTTAAGAAATCATCGAGTTTCAGGGTACAGACTCAGCATTGCCAGCTCCGGCACGAAAACCTCTGACTCTGCACCTGAGGAGTTACACAAATTCGAGGGAAAGGGCAACTCCGGTCGCTGGAAACACATGGCGCCAGTCAAGGTTGATCAGGAGGCAAGGTGCTTGATCAGAAGTGCACATTATATTTCAGGCCTCTGCGAAAGACTCCCAGCTTATGAGCGGATAGGATACCATCCGAGACCCGCTTACCTGCGAAGGGGCGTGTTCAGACTCCAAGAGTCATATAATCTAGGTGCCAGAACCATGACTTTGTTTTTTAGGTCGCGAACGCAATGCGAGCTCATTCGTGGGAAGCGACTTTTTTGCCGACAAAGTTAGAAAGCTGCTAGTTAGGACCAACAGCCGGACAGGCTTTCATTGCCAGCTTGGCATCCGGAAGTTTGGGGGCGAGATTGAAGGTTGCTGGGAAAGAGTTCGTGATTGAGAACCAGGAGCCGCATCCTGCCCCGCATGGCAATGTGCCCGCCCTTCGGTTGTTTCCGGTTTCTCGGACTTCCCTTCTTTACCTTTTGATTGTGGCTGCTGAACCTGTATGTCTGCAGCAGGAGCAAAACGGCATCACCATACCTCAAGTGGTAATCGTCGACATGGCAACCGGCACTGAATCCGTGGGTACCAGGCTCGGTTCGGTCCATTCCCAGCATTTCCTTGGTGTCCCTGGCCGCCAGGTGGACATCTGAAGCGCCTGCAGTCGAGGCCCTGCATGCGCTGCCCGTCGGAGGCTCTGAGCCTCTGGCGTTCTTCAACTCAATTCCCACACTGGCTCGGAAATACAAGTGGGTTGGCGGCACCACGGGCACCTTGGGTCAGAACCACTGCCTGGAGTTTTATGCGAAAGTCTACAATGCCAGAACGACTTTCCGCATCCCTCGTAATTCGCCGGGATGTATCTTCATGTTGCCTCCCGTCATCTCCAGCACCGAAACAGAATGGCTGCGGAACATCCAGGAATCGGCGGAGACGTATCTCAGCAACGAGCACGGCTTGGGTGTGTCTGGTCCAGTGCTCGTGATCACGGAGAGCATCCTCAGGGCGGAGCAAGTGGTAGACTATCTCAAGGAGGCAGGCTATCCCATCATGACGGCTGACAGCAGCAATGGCGAAGTGGGATGGTCGCATCAGCGACTCAATGGCAGGGTTAGACTCAGAAGTCAGGCACATGTTTTCCCTTTCTACAAGTCCCACCATGCGGTGACGGAGAAGCTGCCAGATGCATCCATTGTTGTGGCCTCTAACAAGGGCGGTCGTGGCCTTGACTTGAAGCTTGACGGAAAGTGTCCTGCAGGTTGCCCCCTTGCGCATCCACAGGTGCCCGTCACCGACGGAGGCAGCGTACTGTTCGTCATCCTGACAGAGGCCTTAAATGAACGCCAAGATGTCCAAGCTCGTGGGCGTTGCGGTCGCAGTGGAAAGCCTGGTGTGGTTCAGTACCAGCTGTTCGTGGAAGACACGATGCCGCCAAAGACAGTTGGACATGTCGTGCAGGCGCATAGTTACCGTCATCCCAGATCCCTTCTGCCCACCTTGATGCCATGTCGTAGTGGCACCTGCATATCTCCTGACATGCTGTCTTCCAGGTGCAGAACAAAAAGGCAAAGGATGAATCCGGCCATCTTCGCTCGAAGTCGCTGCGTGTCGCAGACATGGTGAAGGCAGGGGGTGGAGGGTGATGAAAGAAGTCTTTGGCCAGAGGTGCATGTTAGAGCTGTTTCCGAAGCAAGACTGTCAAGGATGGGCGCCTACTTGAGAAGTTCGTTGATTGGAAAATCACCTACCAGAGACGGTTGCTCAACGACTTGCTTCCTAGCACAGGGAAGTTCAAGCTCGAAGGTTCGTTCCTGCCGGAGTTGGAGTTGAACATGAGCCGCTTTTTAGAGGAGCTCCTGGTAGAGAGGTGGGCTTATTGGAGAACCATGGGCGAGCCATGGCGCAAAACGGATGACACCGTCTACCATTTCCGACAGAGGCGGGCCTGCAGCAAGTTTAGGGCTTAGATAGTCTATGATAACTCGTGAAAGGTTCTGGTTCGGGCGAGAAAGGTTTCTGGGTTGGAAACTTGCTTGGCAAAGCTGCGTAGTTGCATTTGCTGCGATGTCTGCCGCCAGACGCAACTTGCTGAAAGCAGTTTCAAGCCTTGCCCACTGCCGGCTGCCACTTTCAAGGCAAGTTCTTGGGACAGTTTCCAAGCTGGACTTCGGCGATGGTGCGGAAGAGAGCCCGGCTACTCAGCTACTCAACGAAACATGTCAATTGAAATGTCTCTTTCCTTAATGAGTCCAGGAAGGATAGTTAAATTAGTTAGATTCGTTTGCAAGCTCAGCATCTCACACATGAGAGGAAGGAACACATGCAAACTCCTCGCATCATCTGAAGAGGTTCGTGCTTTCGCGACACGTCTGTGGAACCTGGCGGCGCAGCTCCGCTTAGATGCCGAGCAGCTCATGGAACTTGCCTTGCAGCTCCTCCCGCTCCAGGACCTGTAAGGGCAAAGGGTTTAAGAGCAGAAGCTGTGCAGACACAGGGCAGTAGGAGTAGTTCTGGAAACGGCAGTTCAGACGGTTTGCTCGTGTCGAGCAGATTCAAGTCACTGTTCTCGAATACCAAACCTTTAAACTTTTTTGGATCCGGGTCCGATTCCAGCCAACATTCCGTCCGACTCGTCCGCATGTTGGGCAGGGCTTTTTGATGCCAGATGCTTTGTGTGCATCCCTGCTTTACAGGAGCATGACCCGAGTTTTGCATGGATCGCTCGTGATCTGTTGGAGAAGGCCGGCGTGCAAAACGGATCCCTCCGGACGGAAGTGCTGTCATGTGGTGTGGAAAGGCACTTGCACAGCCCGTGTCGTCGCCACAGCTTCTGGTATGCGACCTTCTGGTACGGTTTAAACTGCTGTTTTGTCTCATTAACTGTCGCTCTGTTGCATCAGCTTGTGTTACGTACACCGGGAGGCCTCCTCAACCACTGGTCCATGGCAGCTGCAAGATGGCGAGCACTGGCAGGCCGAATGGACCGGCAATGCAGCACTGCTCCTGGCACGACTGCAGGTGCCATGGTTGGGAAGGGTTTTAGCGTTCCCTAGATACAGATACAAGGACTCAGTGCCATCTTACGAGGCGTTGCTCGATCAAGAAGCTGACCTCCTTTGCGGCTGCTGCAACCCCGCTTACTACCTGCTGCTGCTACTCTTCTTGCTGCCTACGACACGACGACGACGACCACAACAACAACAACAACTACTACTACTACTACTACGACGACGACAACAACAACACCTGCTGCTGCTGCTGCTGCTGCTGCTGCTGCTGCTGCTGCTGCTCCTGCTACTCCTACTACTCCTACTACTCCTACTACTCCTACTACTCCTACTACTCCTACAACTCCTACTACTCCTACCACTCCTACTACTCCTCCTACTCCTCCTCCTCCTCCTCCTCCTCCTCCTACTACTACTACTACTACTACTCCTCCTACTACACTGCTACTGCTACTGCTACTGCTACTGCTACTGCTACTGCTACTGCTACTGCTACTGCTACTGCTACTGCTACTGCTACTGCTACTGCTACTGCTACTGCTACTACTACTACCAGTACTACTACGACTATCATCCCGGCTACTCTAATGCTACGCTACTACCAGTACTCCCACTACTGCTCCAACACCACTACTGCACTGCCCCTGCGCCATTGCACCTTGCCACTGCTACTGCTAGTGCTTCTGCTACTACTACCACTACTACTGCTACATACTGCTACTACCGCTACCGCTACCACAACCACTACCACTACCACTATTAC